GATGGTCTTGTAGCCCATTCCAGCCTTGTGTAGGTCTACAATCTTGTCCCTGACATCCTTGGAGAGCTCTTTGGTCTTGGCCATGGTGGAGAGTTTGGATTCTGATTGATTGATTGCTTCTGTGGACAGGTGTCTTTTATACAGGTAACAAACTGAGATTAGGAGCACTCCCTTTAAGAGTATGCTCCTAATCTCAGCTCGTTACCTGTATAAAAGACACCTGGGAGACAGATATCTTTCTGATTGAGAGGGGGTCAAATACTTATTTCCCTCATTAAAATGCAAATCAATGTATAACATTTTTGACATGCGTTTTTCTGGATTTTTGTTGTTGTTATTTTGTCTTTCACTGTTCAAATAAACCTACCATTCAAATTATAGACTGATCATTTCTTTGTCAGTGGGCAAATGTACAAAATCAGCAGGGGATCAAATACTTTTTTCCCTCACTGTATATGTTTTGCATGTCAGCAATCAAGTTTTCAAGATATGTAGCTTTCAAAATACAGAAATCTGGCCCTTATGATGCATTTTGCATCATATGATGCAAAACGCAACATCATATAATGCTAAATGCATCATACGGGCCAGATTTCTGTATTTTGAAAGTTGGATATCTTGAAAACTTGGTTGCTGACATGCAAAACATTTTGGGACTATATCAACAATGAACTAATGAAACAAATACCAAAAGATAGCTTTTGGGTGGAGGTTTCCTTTAACATTTTTGTGTGGCGTTTGTGCCTTCCCAAGTGCAGTTGGCTGAATGTGACATTTTCCCCACCACTTACACTTTGTTATTATGTATTGCTTTATATATCAAGTTTGAGTGAGCCATAAATTCAGAATAGATCCGCAATCAATATTACCATGGCATAATAAGCCGGTTGCATATGCAAAGAAGTTCACTGCTTGGTATTGACGGGGAGAGAGGAAGATTTATGGAATGTATAAAACTTTTCTCCCCGCTCAAATTAATCATGCAAGCAATATTTTGCAACACACATACATTAGTGCGAGAAGAAATTAGAAATCATCATATTTCATATTTACCTTTCAATACTTGCAAGTCATCGTTACAGATTGTTAAACTGATTTGTGATGAGTGTGCCATGCTTGAGCTGTTATATTCTTACATCGTATTCCATCCTGACAGGCCAGATGTAGGCCAAGAGGTAGAATAAACATTCGTAATGGTGCAGTTGGAAGATTGTTATTCAAAATGTGAATAAACCAACTATACTACCTGTATTTAATTTAGTTGTTTGTTTTTTTAGTTGCTTGATTTTATTTAAGTGTATTATCTGTATTTGTTTTGGAATGAATTTGCTTCCATAAAAACATCTGTCATCATGTACAACCTGAAATAGACTTGTAAGACATACTGTCCCTCAAGGGAGACAATTCTCATGACAAGTGGGTTACTCTGCTAAAGAGTTACAGATCCAAAATACATATTATTATCTGTTTTAACTCCAAAAGTCAATCCATTCACATTGCTGATACAATAGGAACCAGACATGTTACCATTGGCCCTAGGGTTTTTTTTTTGATGAGACACTGTGTTCTTATAATAAGACAAACTCATCCAAATACACTCTGGCTTTTGGGGATGCTTCAATGCAAATACACCCAAAACAAACTCTCCAAACCCAATTGGCTCAACAGTACTTGAGGGTGTTACAGAGGACTGATCTGTTTGGGAAACATCACACACCAAAAATACTGAGATGGAAGATGAGAGAGTCTTTGAGAGACTCTCATGCTTTCAGAAGACGGGCATGTGTCATGTCTCCATATCTCCCATGTATCCCCCAACAGTGAGCCGGGCCAGACCTCTAGACTTTGAGGGCAGGCGTACGTAGGGGTGTAAACGCTGGAGCCTTTTGTGGAGGACCATTAAAACCTGATTGCGGGCGCTCTCTCAAGTGGGTCCCAGGTGCATTAACACTTTACCAATCTCCTGTAATGATACTCCCCAGTGCACAGAGTGGTGGAATAAGAGCATCAGCCTTTTAAGGTGGTCCCTTTAATGAAATCATGTCTGGGGCCTTATGTGGGGGCTAAGACCAAGACCAATGAAGCTGCTGGCACTGTTTTTCTACTTTTACAACAGATAACTATAGAGTGGTCCAACATTATATGTCATCTTACAGAGATACAGAGTAGATAATGGCAAAGACTATTATTGAAACATCACTATTAAAAAGCTATTTTCATTTCATGATTATTATGAAAACTAAAACCTTCATTATTATGATGATTATGTTTATAATTGTTGTTGTTGTTGTTTCTATTATAAATGTTTTTGTTATTACATTGTTACAATCATCATCTGCTGCATAATTCAGCAGGCTACACAGTACTCCTGTTTTCTGCTGATTTTCCTCCAACGTAGATGCATTGCAGACTGAGAGACCTTGGTCTGGATATGGCCCTCTGATGAGCAGTGTCAGGCATAGGGCATGGTTTTATCCTACAGGCGACTAGTGCTTCAACCTAACTTGAAGTGTGACCCCACAGTAGGCCTATTGTAAAAAATCCCTGAATAAAAACAAAACACATTCAGGTATCTAAAAGGCAGGCAGAGAAAAAGAGAAGAAAAACAGTAATGCATGAAGGTTCTTCTCTGTTGTTATGTTGTTTTCCTATAAGCTCCTTTGAGGCAGCAATAGCTTTAGGATCCTAGTTGCAGTGTATGGCTCCATCCAGATTTACTGGCATTTCTCCTTAATCACCATAAAGACATTAGACTGACTTGTTGACCGGGGATTACTGCGGAACACAAAAACTCATCTGGAGCGATGAAAACAAGCGCATTTATCCTATAGAAAAATTGGTATACAGTAAGAAAAGCTATATTTACAGCCATACTTAGAGGGTGGATGGTTCATGGGTAAAGAGATGATAGATAGATAGATTATAGATAGATAGATAGATAGATAGATAGATAGATAGATAGATAGATAGATCGCTAGATCGATCGATCAGCTCCGCTCGATGCTCGCTCAGCTCGATCGCTCGCTCGCTCGCTAGCTCGCTCGCTCGCTCGCTCGATCGCTCGCTGCTATAGCTAGCTCGATGCTAGCTCGCTCGCTCGCTATACGATAGCTCGCTCGTCTCGCTCGCTCATCGCTCCTGCTCGCGCTGCTACGATGATCCTAGCTATGACCTTGGATGAATGGGGAGGCTTATGATATTATGTGATGTTTTTCAAGTTCATAATTGCCCTGTAAAGAATAGCCTAATGAATGAAGTAATTATGTAATTAATTAATGCCGAAATCAAATCAAAGCTGTAGGACAACGTCGCCACATCTCAGGGGACTAACTGTTAAGCGGTTGAGAGATAGAGAGAAAGTAAAAGAAAGAAAAGGCAAGAAAGAAAGAAAGAAAGAAAGAAAGAAAGAAAGAAAGAAAGAATGACAGACAGACAGACAGACAGGACAGACAGACAGACAGACAGACAGACAGACAGACAGACAGACAGAATCTTCAAATTATTCACATTATTTTCATATTTCTAATTAACTTTTTTAATCAATGGTATAGCCTATATTCATAAAATCCCTAGTTATGTTTTGTTGTTGCAACAGGCTTTTAGCCTATATTCCAAAATATATGACTGAAACTGTCATCACACAAGTTTTAGTGATTGCAAAAAAGTTTCCATGTAACAAGGCTTTTGTCATTATTGAAATTGGTTAGAATTGCTATTATTTTAGGCTAGAATAAAAATAAAAATTTCAACGTTTCAGAAATGTTGTGGAACTCCTAAAAACAATGTATGTAGGCCTGTATGCATTTACAAACAGATTACAACGAAATGCCCTTGTCAACAAATCTCTATGGAAATGTCAGAATTTGCTAACTAGTGTTGGAATACCATTGACATCTTCTTCAGGCCATAAATAAGGAGAATAGATGCTGGTAGCTTGCCACAGATAGTATGGGCAGTCTGAAAAAAACACAAAGGCAAAATGGAACTAGGCAACCGTAAACATGTCCTCCCGCACGAATGATGCATGCTGACGCTTTAACACATTTCAGTTAATTACTATAGCTCCCGCCTTGGGCCAATCAGTGTAATTTTGTAAATGCTCTGATCTCTATTGCAAGACGTATCATTCACCCAAGTTTCTTCAAAATCGGCACAGTGCTGTCTAAGACTGAGATATCGCGTGTGACTAACGAACAAACAAACCGAAGGAGACAGTTCCACAGTCCCCTCCGGATTTCATCGTGGGGGACAAACAATGACGCTCCATCCACTTGTCTCTGATGGTCTATTCTTGGCCGAACAAAAGATGGGCACGAGAATAAAAACGCATGACAACAATGTCCCGACGAATCGCCCATTGCCCTATTGTGTACGATGAAAGATGGACACGTGTACCTCTAAATGGATAAGGAGGGAAGGGAGGAGGAGAGGGGGGTTGAAGACAGTGGAGTGGAGGTGGGGGGGGGGGGGGGGGGGGGGGGGGGTTACACACAACACACGCCTCCGGCCTCGCGCACATACAGAAACTCCCCTTTTCAGCACCGTGGACAGGGCATAGTCATCCACGCGCCACACCCGGCATCTCGACTCCAGCTGTTACTTTTGTTACGTTAAAAACGAACACCCGTCCCATGGTGAGGTCAGCTGACGCTGGTAATGGTCAGGCATTATCCCCACCCCCTCTCTCTACCTCCTCTCGACCAACACACGGAATCAAACAGCAAGTTGCTGCATTCTCAAAGTTTCCTTGCACGGTGAACGACGCAGAGAGACAAGGTCGACAGGCGTACTTTTGCCTCTTACAACCACGTTATTTTTGTGACTCTCAAAGGATAAAGAAATAGGATCATGCGTTTTTGTTTTTATTTTTTCCTAATAATCACTTATCATTAGCCTAAACTCAGCAGGCACGCGTCTTGCTTTCCTTTCCTCTGTATAGGCCTATCTCAACCACCGATTGATTTTATGTTCATCTGAGCTGAAACGCATCACTGCTCAGAATGTTGCTTGAGCATCCTGGATCAAGTTGTCAAAATCCCGTGAATTTCTCCCGATACAGTGCAGGTCAAGGTAAGAAGCCGGCTTTCTTGTTTGTTTGGAGTCATTTGCACTTCTAATCGAGATTCTAAATTAACTTTATGTGGAAATGTAGCCAGCATACCGTCGAGTCTATTTGATTCCGTTCAGTCCCCAGTAATCTGTTAATGGCTCATAATTAGCTATGAAATATCTAGCTATACAGCAAATCAGCACAGCGGGGGCTCTGCCTGCAGCTCAAAGTTTTACTGACAGAATCCAAACAGGCATGAAATAGCCCATTGTATCTCACAGCACACCCTATCATCATCAGTTAAACTTCTCAAATAAGAGTTAGACATATCACCATTATATGCTGAAAGAAGAGTTACAGTAGGCTAAGTGCTTTCCCTTTCAAGACGGCTTTCAAGTTGTGAAAAGAGAAAAATTGATAGGCTACACATCGAATGGATTTCATCATATTGGCGCATAGCACTTAAATGTGTGTCCAGTTTAACAAAATTCACGGGGTATTCATACTGTTTCGAGGTGGAACATTAAAGCTTTTATTTATGTTTCCCTGCGTGCGGGAGACGTTATGAATACGTAATGAGCTGCATTGTTGGAAATCATACGAACAGATGTTATGCGTGTGCTGTTATTTCACACAATTTCTCATGGCTGTCACGCGAGTCCACGAGACCACCAGAGCGCTTTTGCAGTGTCACACCAACCACCTGTGTACGCAACAAGGCAACAGCCCGGCTGCACACAGGCCGCCCCCGCCCTCCCTAGTCAACAGCCTGTGCAAAATGCTAAACAAGTGTCAGGTTCCCTTCGACAGGTGCGGCACCTGAGGTCCGTTACAGGAGGATATTTGTGCTAAAGTTGGCACAAAAACGCTTGAAATGGTAGCCCTATGCGTAAAAAGTTTGCAAACAGAAAATGTCTGTCTGAAAAGGTCATTACTTTGTTTATTTGAATGCATGCCCCTTGCATTGTAAAATACCCAACACACTGTAAACCATGTAGCCTAGTAGGCATGTGGTTTTTGAATTATTCCATTACATCTAGGCCTATAGGCTATTCATTATGTGCAGCAGTGTTATTAATATAGCCTACTCATCCCAGGCACAAATTATTTGTTCGAAAATGTGCAGCATTTTTGTATCAATGTTAGGCCTACTTCATATTTGTAAATTATGAATCTAATAAGGTAGATCCATGCCAAAAAATAAATTGTGTTGCCTTGCGCATGGGGGAAATGAATAAGGCTTGTAAGTGGGCTATTCCATGACCAAATCAATAGATTAGCAATGGTTTTAGAAATAAAAGCAATAATCATCTCTTTATTAAACCAGTAGCCCATGACTGCCTCTTTCTCACGGATCACTTTTCTGTTTTGTTGATCATAGAGCATTGCTCACGTTACCCCATTACTGTCTCCTAGCCCCTCAAAAGGGAGCGATCAACAGGACATAAAAAAAATAGCTGAAAAGTAAGAGGGAGCACTGAAGCATCCCACACCTTTCACCAAAATGTATTTCATATACTCAGAAAATACTGGCAAATGGGGCATTGATTTTAGATTCATCAGGGGTCCACGCAGCCATGGCACTACTCTTGATTTCCCAAGGCGCCCTTTTGCGCCTGAGATCAGTGTCGATAAAATTCATCGCGGTGTTGCCTCGATCAACATGTTATTGAGCGGCCAATCTCTCCCCTAAGTAAACAGTTGTCTTTGTGAAGTCAGCATAGGCTATAGTCCTACAATATGGTGTGTGTGTGTGTGTGTGTGTGTGTCAGTCATTCGCACGCCAGGTTTATATGTTCTCGTTACGTGATGGAAATTGTAGATTTGGCTTTATTACGAATCTACCGTGACCCCAATACAACGTCAAGTTTGGGAGATGTTCTCTTTTGCTTTTGAGTTAATAAAATACCATGAGTGCGATGGCTGATATAATATTAGAAACATCCAAAATATCCAGTATAAAATAGTACATGTAATTAAATCATACCAGTCAAATATAACAGTAACTTTGGTAAAGGAATATTTTTCATCTGATGCAGATGTTTCAAAAGAAAAGTGTTAATTTCATCAAGCTATTATTATTAGATGGGAATCATATTATGTTCCTATGTAGGTTAATGGTTCTTGAGACATATGCCTCCTAGTATTCGATCTTTTTTATTTTTTTTCTAAATAGGGGTCACCTCACATGTCGTTCTATTTATATGCATTTTAGAAAAGGGAAAAAAACGAATTAAACCTATTTAAAACTATACTATACTGTAATAAGCTACTAGGCCTATGGTATGGTGGAATGTTTTACAAATATTAGAGTTGCATTCTGCCTTGTCAACTGCAAAATCAATTGTACAATAGCTACCTACTTAAAATTATGTTTTGATTATTATTATTTGAATTTTCGATAGAAGGCCATGTGTTGCGTATCAATAACATAAGCTATCCATTACAGGCAAATATTTGGAATGTCACTTTATTTAACTTGCATGAATTTTTGAACTCAACAGTTTCAGGACTTAATTTTAAAAAAGATGTGTCAGGTTCCATTTTCGTTTGCGTTTGATTATTTGTGTAGCTTGCCCTATATTGTGGCCGTGATTCGATTCGAAACAGGCCTAGAGAAACGTGCGTAAAGATGCCTTTGCAAAGTTCAATTTAAAGCCACTTAGGCTACTTTTCGTGCTGTGAACATTTATTTTCATAAGATCATGCAAAATATGTTAGTGTAGGAATGAACCAGCTAATGGTCAAGTAGGAGCTGCTTGCAATAAAATGACATTTAATGGCATAGCCTATGCATAATAATTAATAATAATTAATCATTTAGCAGACGCTCTTATCCAGAGCGACTTACAGGAGCAATTAGGGTTAAGTGCCTTGCTCAAGGGCACATCGACAGATTTTTCACCTAGTCGGCTCGGAGATTAGAACCAGCGACCTTTCGGTTAGTGGCACAACGCTCTTAACCACTAAGCTACCTGCCGCCCTCATCAACTAAACACACATGGCCGAAACCATCGTCAAATGTAATCTTGTACCATTAAATTTGTTTCCCCTTGGAAGAGCACTTGTTACCCGCACCTCTTTCCAAGTTTCTGATAGTTGATGATAATCTATCTCCCTACTTTAACAGGCCTGTCGCTAGGGTAACCACGCGACGTAATCCTGCGCAGCGCACATCACACTGGGATACAGCAAACTCAAGCGTATGCAGGCACACAGTGCGCTGAATTGTTGTATTCTCCCCTTGATATAGGGCATAATATGCCGATGTGAGCGATAGGTGGGCACCAAGAACACAGAACTACAGTCGTTTTTCGTTATCGTGTGAGGAGAACATGAGCAATGGATGGACATAATGAACAGAACTCTCCAAAAGGAGCACCGAAAAACACGGAGATTCTGTTTGCCTTGCTGGCGCAGAGCGAGGAATTACGTAAAGGTATAAAACAGAGCAACGCATGATTCCATTTGTGTTTTAATCGAATCTGATATTGGTTACGCACATTACAATAGTCAGATATTTAATCAGTACTTTGTTGTCGCTGTTTATACAGGTCAGAATAAGGGATGCTGTTTTATTTCATTCCAACACCTTCATGTATCGCATGCTGTATGAAGAACACAATATAACTTTCTTCGAATAGTTTCCTCTTTTGCATTTCTGAACATTTTATACTGCAATGAAATGCTTATTTTTCCTACATGGATATGTAAAAAATGAACGCTATACTTGCATGCACAATTCGCTCATACACCATGAGTTGTAGACTAGTCAGTGGTTAGCCGAAACAGTGGACACTTCCCTTTTCAGTTTTTGCCAGTTTTCGCTCCTGTCCCCTGTATTACAATGGATTATGGCTAAATCTGTATGGCGAAGGATTAAGGCTAAAGACGGAGAATCTACGAAATAACATATGTCTTATCTGTTTGTTCCAAAGCAATTTTTTACACTTTTACGCACAGTTTTAATCTTGTCGCAATTTCTCCATTCATTGCACATGAGGGATAAGGATTTAGTAAACCATTTAAAAATACACATTGTAGACATACATTATTGTTTTAAATGTTTAAAGATAAGTGTGAATTCTTTATTTAGGATGGTTTGGATTGTAACAACTATGTAACAACCTGCCCTATATGGGACAAACATGTATTTTCTTTAACGAGGTTTCTATCAATATTACTACAATTTCTAAGGATTGAATTGGCTTTCATGGGCAGACATCTATACCGGTAATATTCTTACAACCTGATCAAATCGCTGGATTGTGGCGTGAGACTAGACCGTTGTATTCTAGTTTTACAGAACCTATTGAATTAATAATGAGTTTGATGCACCTGTTAGTGACGTGGCTCGCTCTTGTGCATTGCTTGCTCTTGGTGCCAGAAAACAATTGTCCATACATTTTTCATAAATTGCCCACCAACGAACAATAGGAATGCGATTCCTTAGATGGATGAAACACGAAGTGTTTCGACTTGAATAAATAATTAAGCCAAGTGATAACATTTCAAGCCATATTTAAGTTGCCAGTGACGCAATCTCACTGGATAAGCGTTTGTTGATAGTTTAATAATAAGTTGCAATGAAAAGTTATTTGTTTGCTGAAAGATGGCCATTTTGCATTAATGTATTGTGTTGTCTTGATGAAGGCCATGCTTAAAAGTTGGCCATGCGGGTATGTTTGAGTGGATTATTCCTAAAAGTTCAATGGCCTGAAAAATGCAAATTGTCACATTATGTCTATTGATGTTCAGTTAATTATATGAGTTGGAGCTAATCCTGAACTTGAAGAAGACATTGGCTTACTATTAGCTATAAACTGTAGGTTGGAATGATTGGGTGTCTGAGGGATATTGTCAAATGTCATGCGTAAATTAGTCATGATAAAATTATACAAATTTGGCCAAATGGAAGGCCGGGTTCACCATTCCAACACCGAAACAATTTCTAGTAGACTAATTATGTGTCAATGTGATGATGTGCACGGTATCATCAGCATACTTAAATTGTGAATAAACTCATGTTAACACACAACGTGTAACAATTAGGTCTGTGACTCAAGTTACATCTGATGACATCAACACACATTTCACCTCATCCACTCAAGTGAGCACTTTCAGCGTAATTTCATGCGTTATAGTGGGAAAGGCTTGGATGGTGTTTTGACAATTCGAATGCGGGAATATTGGCAACATATTCAATGTCCGAACCTTCGATCAAATTTTGCTGTGGTCACGTTTACATGAATGAAACCCTCCTTGCTCTCTCTGCGAAGTGGGCCTGCTTCTACGTGATTTGGAAACCTCAAAAAGCAGCCTTTGGGCCAGTGTTGATTGGGCGGCTGAGCATGGACGGGGGGATTGACTGCATCGCTACAGAAGGCTTGTTTTTCTTCGCTTTTTATAATCACTAGTGATTATTTAATGGGAAACAATGGACAAGTGTTTTAAAGAGAGAGGGACCCATGCGCCTGTTGAACCCACTGGGCACAGACGTCAATTCAACGTCTATTCCACGTTGGTTCAACGTAATTTCATTGAAATGATGTGGAAACAACGTGGATTCAACCAGTGTGTGCCCAGTGGGTAATCTCAAACAGGAGGATAGGATAGCCCATGCATGGTCGCAGGAACGAGAGAAGAGATACATACTGTGTATGTTGAATCAGTAAGGGAAACAGGGAGAGATAGAGAGGGAAAGGCTTATAGAGAGAGAGAGAGAGAGAGAGAGAGAGAGAGAGAGAGAGAGAGAGAGAGAGAGAGAGAGAGAGAGAGAGAGAGAGAGAGAGAGAGAGAGAGAGTTTTCCGGTATCCACTGTCGTTTATAGATGGTCTGGAGGTCTTGGATCAGCTGGTTACCATGCAAAGTAAGTGTTTTTATTCGTGGAATGCGCAGTTTAGAGGAGTGATAGTAGAAGGATGCTTTTTTTACAGGCCTATGTCTTCTTCATTAATTCCGCAGATCAAACGTCATGGTTCCGCCATTATAACTCATTCAGCCAATAGTCAATAGGTGTTGGCAGTCGTCTTTGTAATATTTTATGGTATAGCTTTATAAATTGGATTTTCGCTGTGTTCTTTTGTATTGCATCTGGCTGAAGTAGAGTAGGCCAACCTGGATAGAGACAATGGAGGATCTCCGTGAACTTTCCAGGGAGTTGGTTAGAGACATTTTAAACTTAGCAGAGGATGTAGAAGCAGGACCTGCTGACATTATCCGGAATTGATTTGTCTTGGCTTGATGCAGAGGGTAACCAATCAGGCGTTAGGTTCCGCCTACCAACTTTTGATGGGTCAGTTTGACAGTTTTAAGTAATTCAGGAAGCACTCCAACGCAGGACCATGAAATGTAAATGTAAATAGTGAAATTATTATATATGTATTTTACATAAAATGAATCGGTATTTGAATTAATTAATGACACATTTAATAACACATTTATGTATTTAATTCTAATTTTAATTAATTAATGACACATTTAAGTAATTATTTAATGGTGTATTTATTTATTTAATTGTGGCACTTTTAGTCCTCCATATCTGGCACCCACACTTGTAAAATGGTAACGGATGTTGCCAGGTTTCGATAATCATGGGAGGAACAAAAAAACATACTTTGGCGTTTACTGCAATTGATGGGTTGTGAAATATATGATGATGGTGATGATAACGACGACAATGATGATGACGAAGATGATGATGATGATGATGATGGTGGTGGTGACAAAAACGAATGAATGGCTGTAATTTATAGGCAGCAGTGTATTTACATCTGATACTATTGAAATCATTCTGTCCCTACATTTATAGATCAATAATGAGTCCACAACACCTTACTCAACTTAAAGGAAAACTCCACACAAAACGATCTGTTGTTATTTGAGTTAACGTGAGTTTTCATGGAAAAACACACACGTTTATTTTTGTAATGAAAGGCGCCATTACTTGGGCATTGGAGGATGGTCTTGCATTTTTTTGGTCTGTAGACTATTTATTTTCTTATGAGGTAGCATATATTTGGGATTAATTACGCACGTAATAAGAAGTCATAAAATGTACGAGTAATCCGACTCATTAATAGTTTAATTACAACCACTAACTCGCAAAGGATGCTGAATAATCAAATGAAAATAATTCAATAATTTGTTTAATAAGCATTGCACTGCAAATTATATTTCCATATATATTTCTTTATAGATATATTTTTTGTGCACACAAAAATAGCAAAAAGCAATTTCTTAAGAGGCCTATGTCACTTACACTTTTCGATGGCTCTAACTGAAGATCTATAAATATTTGAACACAGCTTGGAATCGAATATTAGGCCTATTCGCATAAAATATTGGGGTGCATTTTTATTGTTATTTGTTTCATTAGTCCATTGTTGATATAGTCCCAAAATGTTTTGATTGTCAGAAATCAAGTTTTCAAGGTATATAACTTTCAAAATACAGAAATGCAGCCAGTATGATGCGTTTTACATCATACTATGCTGCGTTTTGCATCATATGATGCTAAATGCGTTATACAGGCTGTATTTCTGTATTTTGAAAGTTCTATATCTTGAAAACTTGATTGCTGACAAGCAAAACATTTGGGGACTATATCAACAATGGACAAATGAAACAAATATCAAATATCGTTTTTGTGTTGAATTTTCCTTTAAATCCACTCTTCGAAATCTGCCTTTTTGTGATGGTTCTCACTTAGCCCATGTGACATCGGCAATGCAACAATGCTTTTCATTCAACCAGATTTGTTTATTAGGCCTACAACTTCTTTATTAAATTATAGCAATTCTCAACTACATGGCAATCAATATACATCGATGAAAATAAAAATATGCAATATTCTAGATACTAGCTCAGTGACAAAATTGTCTCATATTTGCCCTGAAATAGACTGCCTTGGGGTTTTTCCATTCATTTATATTTACTCATCACTTTCGCTGCGAATTTCTTTATGTGAGCTTTCAGTAGTATCAACAACAAAAAAATTATATCAATGTGTGATTCAAGTATAAATGATAGTCCTATTTATAATATGCAGAATATTAAGTATGATTTATCACCATTTTTAGATGATTTGTATCGAATTAGTGTCCTTATTTAGATTTTATCCCAAATAAGCCTATTCTAAATGTACATTTACATTTTAGTCATTTAGCAGACGCTCTTATCCAGAGCGACTTACAGTTAGTGAGTGCATTCCCGTGGGAAACGAACCCACAACCCTGGCGTTGCAAGCGCCATGCTCTACCAACTGAGCTACAGGGGATTTGTTAATCAAATGCATTAACAAATGTCTACATTTGACAATTGTATAAATTGCTATTTTTGTGCCGTAAAACAATTTGACCACAGTATAATTTGTCTCGGTGCCACATGATTTCTTAAGCAGTGTTTAAATTCAAGATGGCTTCATGGTTATCCTGTCTTCACTAGAAATTCCTGTATGCGCTGGCTGTAATCAACACATCGTGGACCGCTTCATCCTCAAAGTGCTGGACTGCCATTGGCACAGCAAGTGCCTGAAATGCAGCGACTGCCAATCCCAACTTGCGGACAAGTGCTTCAGCCGTGGAGATAGCGTTTACTGCAAAGAAGACTTTTTTAAGTGAGTGCAAGAAATAGGCCGTCCCATGAAATACATATTCTTTAATGAACGACAAATTATTGAAAATATTGCAGGTGTGTAGGTAGCCTAATAGTTCATTGAAAACAAGCCTAACTATTTGATAGAATCACAGGTTGTGAAAGTGATTAAACTCTTGTCAATTTATTGATGATAACCTTCTCATTTCCAAAAAGGAGATTTGGGACCAAATGCGCCGCGTGTCAGCAAGGTATTCCTCCGACGCAGGTGGTGAGAAGGGCACAGGATTTCGTGTACCACCTCCACTGCTTCGCGTGCATCGTGTGCAAGAGGCAGCTCGCGACAGGTGACGAGTACTACCTGATGGAGGACAGCAGGCTCGTGTGCAAGGCTGACTACGAGACCGCCAAACAGAGAGGTGAGAGGTCACGGTATACCTGAACACACCTGTATCACACCTATTTAGGGTCCCCAAGATCAGAGTTCCTAGACTCTAACGCCTAATTACGCATGTATCCACAGTCCTTGTTATTTCAGCCATATCCAAGAATGTGGATATCCTACAATGCCCACATCTTCATTTCATTCTGTCTGCTAAACATAGAAAATGAGTATGCCTATTATATGCTATCAATCACCGCATCACCCAATAAGTTATGTATTGTTTGGAGCTGTGAACTTGATCTCCAAGACTATGAGGTCACCCATAAACACTTGACCCACCTGCGCTAATTGCGTCGTAGCCCGCATCCCAATAGATAGCAATAGCCTATGTATAGATAGGCCTAAAGCCTGTCCAATTGCAGTGAAGAGAGAAAACGTAGTTGATTTTGTTTTATTTTATTAGCAGACTGACCGTGACTAAGAATATTAAATTCAGCCTCATCTGCACAACAGATTATTCAGAAGTTTTGTTTCAAGGTTGTTTAAAGCGCTGGTTACCATGTTTTGCTAAAGTAACTCATAGGCTACCCTAATGCCTCGGGTTTTGAGTAAAATGTATCACTTTTGTATGTAAATGCATATTTATTGCATGAAAAATGAATTACAACTGACCTCTCACAGAATCTCTGTTTTAACACAATGAAATCCACGCAGGGTATTTTCTTTGTGAATAGTTAATGCGTTACTCAAGTGTTATCTTCCCCATCTGTTTGTGGGAATTTACTGCCTGCACATACTGCTGATTTACACATTGAGTTAACGTGAGTTCTCATGGAAAAACACACACGTTTATTTTGTTAATGAAAGGGCGCCATTACTTGGGCATAGGAGGATGGTCTTGCATTTTTTTGGTCTGTAGACTATTTGTTTGCTTATGAGGTAGCATATATTTGGGATTAGCTACGCACGTAATAACAAGTCATAAAATGTACGAGTAATTCGACTCATTAATAGTTTAATTACAACCTCTAACTCGCAAAGAATGCTGAATAATCCAATGAATATAATTCAATAATTTGTTTAATAAGCATTGCACTGCAAATTATATTTCCAGATATAAATTTCTTTATAGATATATTTTTTTGTGCACAGAAAAATAGCAAAAAGCAATTTCTTAAGAGGCCTATGTCACTTACATATTTCGATGGCTCTAACTGAAGATCTATAAATATTTGGACACAGCTTGGAATCGAATATTAGGCCTATTAGCATAAAGTATTGGGGTGCATTTTTGTTTATGGTATGGCTTACATTGTGTGTCTTGTATTTTATTTTCAGAGGCTGACTCAACAGCGAAAAGGCCACGAACGACCATCACCGCAAAACAGCTCGAGACCCTGAAAAACGCTTACAACAACTCTCCCAAACCGGCCCGCCACGTACGAGAACAGCTATCGTCAGAAACTGGCCTAGATATGCGGGTTGTTCAGGTAACTATCCATCCCCCTCCATTATAGACCATTTCATTAGCGTCCTTATTTTATTATTATCTAAGGACATGCATGGGATTCCTTTTGAAATAGCGCTTGAAATGGCCTCTCAGGTACAGAAGAGTTGGGGTTTGATGGTTAGAATTTACGGTGAGATGGAGTAAAGTGAAGTCCACACACTTGAAAGTCAGAATGGTAAGAGTGAGCTCGTTAACAATGCTAAGAGAGCCTCGCATATTGTCTGTGAAAGAGCCCTACTGTGGATGACTATGGTCAATTAGTCATACTGTATATATCGTTATATTGGCAAGGACACTAAAAGTAGGTAGGCTACGGAAGCCACTATCGCACTTCATTTTTCACCGAAGGGGAAATGGGGGTGAAGAGGGTTCACTTTGGCTGCATATCATTAATGAATATATGCCTAAATATGGGGAAGAAAGGAGAACATTTTTACCTGTTTTAATTAAATTACGCTTTGCATGATGTAGATTTAAACAAAATATGTGCTTACATTGAATGGTTTGTCAATCAAAATAGTCTCTTAAAAATAAAATAAAAATGTTTCCAATTTTATCACACAAATTTACAGCTACAATTTAGAACGTGGAATAGTGAGATTTAAATAATTAAAATCAACTCCAGGTATTAGATCCCAGTGAGAGGGTAACATGCATGGTAACCTGTTTGCTCCCAGGGTTAAGGACAACTTATAGCTGTCATTAAGTTAATTAAGCGGGTGATAAATCTTGTACAGGGCATGGTGGTCCCAACATTAGTGTTCTGTCCCACTGTTTCAATATCCCACTTGGGTTAAAGAAGACATGGCCCAGTCTCCAGACAGTCCTTGAAAATTAATTTTGTTTTAATGTTAATGTACCTGACCACTTAAAAATATAGCAGGTACACTGAAGAAAAAGTCAAGAAAAATGATGTCTGGAATGGTCTAGTAAGTGGTTAGGAATGGCGTTTTGCATGTCTTACAATAGGCTATGAATGAAACATTCAGTTCAAAAGATAAAACATTTGATAATGTTATAACACTGACTACTTGTATATACTCCTCTGCAAATGTAACAGTACATTATAGATTTCTAATTTTAAGAAATCAATTTCCCTTTACTCATAATTCTATGGTAGGAAAAAGGCTTCTACATAGAAAAATAAGATATTTATTGGAGGAGCTGCCTTCAACAGGAAGTTCCCAACTTCCCAATTGTATACCTAAAATAAATAGAACAAAACAGATATGTACCTAACCAAACACCACATCTGTCCTCCAGGTCTGGTTTCAGAACAGGCGAGCAAAAGAGAAGAGGCTGAAGAAGGATGCAGGCAGACAGAGGTGGGGACAGTACTTCCGCAACATGAAGAGGTCGCGAGGTAGTTCCAAATCAGACAAGGACAGCATCCAGGAGGAGGGCATGGACAGCGACGCTGAGGTCTCCTTTACAGGTAGGATGGGAAAACAAACAGACAGGCATATCTGAGATGATGTATTCACAAGAATCTAATTAAAGGGAATGGGATACAGAGGGTGCCTTTAAGTTCCTGTTTGAGGAATTATGAGAGATTATAAAAAATGAGTTATCACAATTATAAAACAAACTCTTTTTGCTATGATTTATTAGCCCCTAAAGTGCATGGCGGAAATGGACATAGCAAATTTGTAAACCACACATTTTGGTTTATACCCACTCAAATTTGAATGAAACCCAAATAATTCCAATGAGAGAAAATCATATAAATCTAATTTATATATGTATGACCAGAATCAAACTAATAATATCAGCAGTAAATTCCATTATGCTTCCATAATGCCACACCCTGACCAAGTGTCCTCCCTTGTGTTCCAGACGAGCCACCCATGTCAGAGCTCAGTCACTCCAATGGCATCTACAGTGGCCTGAGCGAGTCGTCTCCAGCCATGGGGGGCAGCCACGGCCCCTTCCCCCTGGAGCATGGAGTCCTCCCCTCCCAGGACCAGTACCGTGACATCCGCTCCAGCAGCCCCTACGGCCTACCCCAGTCCCCAGGTTCGCTTCAGGCCCTGCCCAGGCACCAGCCCCTCATCTCCAGCCTGGTCTACCCTGACTCCGGCCTGTCCATCATGACCCAAGGCGGGGCCCCGGGGCTGAACCCAGACATGAGAGGAGTGTTGGGGGGCACTAACGGCCCAAGCTCGGATCTGTCTACTGGCAGCAGTGGGGGCTACCCAGACTTCCCAGCGAGTCCAGCTTCCTGGTTGGATGAAGTGGACCACAGCCAGTTTTGATGAGCTGGGTTGATTGGTCAACGTGGTCTAAGGACTCAAAGGTGTTTTTTCAGTGTCTTCTCCTGGCGGGTGTCACAAACTGGAAAGAGACAGTCACACAAGACCTGTGAAACAGAGAGACGGGGTCAGACGGTTGCTGTCTTTCACCCTCCTTGGATCACTCTATCTATCTCTCTCTATCAATTAACTGTCAATTAATATTTTTCATTTCTCCTGATCTGAGTGGACTGAAAGGAAGGATTGGGCCATCAAAAAATATGAATAGTAGCACTTGGAACTAACACACCATTCCTTAAAGAGAGCCAGACTTAGAAAAATGGAGTGCTGGCCTGTTCTGAATGATCATTTAGCTACTGACGGAGTGTTGATCTGTTGCTCCAATAGTGTTAAGAGTAGGGTCTGAAAGGAAGGCACCTCACTTCTACAATCTGAACTTTTAACAGTCAGACAGACAGACTACTCCATCTCTCAGTCTGAAGTATTCACAGCACTCATCAAACAGCCCTCCACCATTGAACTACGTGTACAGCGACTTTGGACGATCATGCTTTTGATCCCTATGATGTCATCAATATTACACCAGAGGAAGCTCACAGATACACACAATTTCCAGCAGTGATATCGTTGAGACAACTTAGCAAATTCAGACTTTTGCCCAATTGGATTTTGAGAGACTCTACTCCCAATCCTTTCCACCTTATTCTTCTCTGTTTTTTAAAAATGTGTACCGATGCAGGTTTTGGTTCAAGTCAGAGTCTTTACGTGTCTGGTTGTTGCCAAATGTCTATGTATATTATGGTTTATCATTGTGGAGACTTTATTTTTATACAACCCCTTTCGACAACATGAATACCACAGATATTAGGACTTTGTACATTGACGGCCAGGGATCTAGACAAGTTGTAGATGTCGCCTCCCACCGATAACTAGAGGTCCAGTTACTTCTATGCATTTGTGTGTTCTCAGATGTATCTTGTTCTATTGAAACTACCTGGGCATGCTGAAACCCAGGCTGGTGTCCGTGTTTGTTTATGTGGAAGATGTTTTATGTCTTATTTATTCTCTCTGATGATGATTAAGTGATACAGGTCTTTAATAAATTTGTCAGCTAGATCCAAACTGACCACTGGCTCTTGTATCAGATCTTTAATATGTTGACTTTGGGCTCTCGTCTGTCTACATTAGACCAACAAAACAAAAAATGTAGTTTTTTTATACAGTATATACACATATTAATTCCTCAAAACACTGACAGAAGCTAGGGTCATTGGGTGGTGGCTAATCTTCGATATCATCCCTTATTTTCGTGGATTATTAATCACATTGATCTCACATCAGAATACAGATACTGTAGGGGAACCGGAGTGATCCAGAGATCTGGTTGAGTCCGCAGATTGGCCGTCTGGCTAATTACCAAAGCTGTATCAAGAGTTCAACTGCTCTGTAGTACAGACTTTTGATGCAGAGTCGATGTCGATTTGGAGATAACCGTGCCTTGTTTGCCCAAATGCCCCTACGGGATAGAAATCTTCAATCCATTAGCTTATGAGGGATCGAATGCCTCTTATGAATTTCCTAATTTGTTTACTTATTCAAAGTCGGGTTCAATTAAATAGATTAAACAGTGTGTAGTGTGTGCGTGCGTGTGTGCTTGGTGCGTGCGTGCTCGGACTGTGTGAGTGACCGTCAATGTCTTACATTTTTTCTACCAGTGACAGAAAGACTTGCATTGCAGTTTCATCTGTGTATAGCATCACAGACGGCACATTTAAAACCATCCTCACTCTGACAAAAACCATCAATCTGCACATTCTTTATAGATGGATCCTTTCAACATCTTCCAGCAATTTGCAGTTTCCAACAGGAACTACAGCACTAACAATGCAAATGAACAGGCATAATGGGAAAAATCTGGATTCTATAGAACCAGAAGACCTGATCATGAACAACTCTGGACTTTAGTTAGCTATAGCTTTATAACCTAAAACGTACTAAAAACTTTTTTCTCTCACAAACTCTCTGCAAAAACGGAGGTTTGTCCAAAAGACGCACCTCCCTGGTCTTATAATAATTATCTGCCTATGGCAGCACTGCAACATGAGGATCCACCCCACCCTCACACTCATATGAGAGTAGAATACCAAGCCTGTTGGTAAACAATAGGTGTTGTGTTTGAATGACTGTGGATTGTCAGATTTAACCCAAGGACTTACCATAATTGCTCCAACAACAAAAAAATCCAGACGTTGGAAGATTGATGCTTTTAGAAACACTGGCTGAAGAAAGTTTCTCAGACTGTGAATTGTGTGTGTTTTGACATTGACACATACCGTAAGTCCCAAAATGAAAATGGCCATATAAAAGCATTATTTGACATAGGTGTTTTAGATTTTTGACACAGGTCCTTAACTTCTTCAGTTTAGGGTTGGACTGCTGGCTCTTGTTCTCAGGTTGCCAGAACAAGAACACAACACTTCAACTTAAAATAGAATCCTTCCTCCTGAGTGGCGGCTGTCAGTATTGCTGTACTAAAGCGACAGGTGCGTAACCCTATCCCAGGGTGCCCTGCAAAGACAGTGCGGATGAGAGTGAAGTGTCAAAGGCAGCACTAATCTCCCCCAATCCCTGCCATGGTCAGTTTACTGGGAAGTTTCCATTTGGGCTGAGCCAGGCGGATTTGTCAATGAGACAGAGGAACACAACACATCAGGAAGTCTGAAGCCTCCACAAAAGCCTCTCTAAATCCTACCAGCTTCCTGGATTAAAATGTCCCCGCCCCTTCCCTCCCCTCCCTCGACAGGTGTGAGGAACCCTGGGAGAAGAAAAGGTGAGATCAGGATGACCTGAGGATGAACTCTTAATGGAAACTAGTGAGATTATCCCCTCCACTCTTTCAGATTAACTTGAGTTTCCCCAGTGGCTTTAAATGTATAAGTGATTTTGGGGGTTTGAATGTAGCTGGGTAGTTTTAAGTGGAGGAAACGGTGAGAAAGGAATTAGACAAATGTGTTATCTTTTGAGGACAGTGAATGTGTTGAATGTAAATGCATTGTGATGATATCAGGTGTACAGTTGAAGTCGGAAGTTCACATACACGTAGGTTAGAGTCATTAAAACTAGTTTTTCAACCACTCCACAAATGTCTTGTTAACAAACTATAGTTTTGGCAAGTCGGTTAGGACATCTACTTTGTGCATCACACAAGTAATTTTTCCAAGAATTGTTTACAGACAGATTATTTATAATTCACTGTATCACAATTGCAGTGGGTCAGAAGTTTACATACACTTAGTTGACTGTGCCTTTAAACAACTTGGAAAATTCCAGAAAATGATGTCATGGCTTTAGAAGCTTCTGATAGTCTAATTGACATCATTTGAGTCAATTGGAAGTGTTCTTGTGGATGTATTCCAAGGCCTACCTTCAAACTCAGTGCCTCTTTGCTTGACATCATGGGAAAATCTAAAGAAATCAGCCAAGACCTCAGGAAAAAAATTGTAGACCTCCACAAGTCTGGTTCATCCTTGGGAACAATTTCCAAATGCCTGAAGGGACCATGTTCATCTGTACAAACAATAGTACACAAGTATAAACACTATGGGACCACGCAGCCGTCATACCGCTCAGGAAGGAGACGCATTCTGTCTCCTAGAGATTAACGTACTTTGTTCCCTTTGCAAACCTGGTGGCCAACTACAAGAAATGTCTGACCTCTGTGATTGCCAACAAGGGTTTTGCCACCAAGTACTAAGTCATGTTTTGCAGAGGGGTCAAATACTTATTTCCCTCATTAAAATGCAAATCAATTTATAACATTTTTGACATGCGTTTTTCTGGATTTTTGTTGTTGTTATTCTGTCTCTCACTGTTCAAATAAACCTACCATTAAAATTATAGACTGATCATTTCTTTGTCAGTGGGCAAACGTACAAAATCAGCAGGGGATCAAATACTTTTTTCCCTCACTGTATTTATATCCACAGTAAAACAAGTCCTATTTCGACATAACCTGAAAGGCTGCTCAGCAAGGAAGAAGCCACTGCTCCAAAACCGCCATAAAAAAGCCAGACTACGGTTTGCAACTGCACATGGGGACAAAGATCGTACTTTTTGGAGAAATGTCCTCTGGTCTGATGAAACAAAAATAGAACTGTTTGGCCATAATGACCATCGTTATGTTTGGAGGAAAAAGAGGATGGCTTGCAAGCCGAAGAACACCATCCCAACCGTGAAGCACGGGGGTGGCAGCATCATGCTGTGGGGGTGCTTTGCTGTAGGAGGGACTGGTGCACTTCACAAAATAGATGGCATCATGAGGAAGGAAAATGATGTGGATATATTGAAGCAACATCTCAAGACATCAGTCAAGAAGTTAAAGCTTGGTCGCAAATGGTCTTCCAAATGGACAATGACCCCAAGCATACTTCCAAAGTTGTGGCAAATTGGCTTAAGGACAACAAAGTCAAGGTATTGGAGTGGCCATCACAAAGCCCTGACCTCAATCCTATAGAAAATGTGTGGGCAGAACTGAAAAAGCGTGTGCGAGCAAGGAGGCCTACAAACCTGACTCAGTTACACCAGCTCTGTCAGGAGGAATGGGCCAAAATTCACCCAACTTATTGTGGGAAGCTTGTGGAAGGCTACCCGAAACGTTTGACACAAGTTAAACAATTTAAAGGCAATGATACCAAATACTAACTGAGTGTATGTAAACTTCTGACCCACTGGGAATGTGATGAAAGAAATAAAAGCTGAATATTTCACATTCTTAAAACAAAGTGGTGATCATAACTGACCTAAAACAGGGAAACTGAGTTTAAATGTATTTGGCTAAGGTGTATGTAAACTTCAGACTTCAACTGTATGTTGTAATTGTTTAGGGTATAATCATTAATTGTACGGTTCAATGTTAGTGAAAGGCCTCGATGTGTATGTGTTTGATCCATGTTTGACATGACAGGTGACTGGCACATATTCTTCAGCAGACAATAGCTGGATCCTGTACATCACTTCCCAGGAGGTCTAGATTGCTGTTGGCAGTAGGAGTATGTGATTGAAGGCTACTCAACCAGATATGCAACAGATAAGAGCAATCAGGTGTGTATAGCCGCTTTCCATGTTGTCTGTTAGACATGTCGTTTTTTTCTATTTTGTTTGCTTGCTTTTTGTATTATTGCTCTGTCTGTCTGCGTTGCGTAGTGTTGCTTGTCATATGTTGTTCGGTATGTGCTTATTGTCTGTCTGTATTGTCATTTTAAGTGTTTTTAATAACCTGCCCAAGGACTGCGGATGAGAATTTGTCGGCTGACTAAAACCGGCAACAGAAATGCTGATTAATGTGCACTGTCCCTGTAAAAATAAATGTAATAAAGTAAAGATACATAATCCACAATGCAGATATGCAAAAATAAATAAAAATTGACAATGTAAAAAAAGCAAATGAAATACTACTGACATCCACACACATTTAGACAAGATATTCAGTAGCAGAAATGTCAGTCACAGTCAGTGGTTTTAGGATATAATGTCAGTTTGACTTTGATGTCAGCTGTTTATAGGCTGTTACATTAGTTGACTGTTACATTGTTTTTTGCATGAGATTGTTGCTATAGGCTGTTGCACTGTAGCCTACTGTTGCATTGTACTATTGCTTCAGGCTGTTGCATTGAGCTGTCCCTGCCCTAGGCAGCTTGAGGCCTGGCTGCTGGCTTTCTCCTCTCCCTCCTTCCCTCCACGCCCCCAGCTAGTGGCCACCTCGTGTCAGATGGCTGGGAGTAAATCAGGCCTGACAGTAACACCTCCCCTGGGCCCCACACGTCACAGCAACAATTCAGGCCTAATGGAGCAGCTCTGGGGTGGGTGGGCGGGGGGGTGGATGCACCGTTAGGGGGTGGGGGTAGTGGGACAGCCACCAGCCAGTCATGGAGGGAGAGGGAAGAGGAGGTGATGAGGGGCTCAGAGGATTACCCCAGGCGCTGATATAACTAAACAATCAATTAACCCAAACTGTTAATGAATAGCATCCTCTGGTGTGGTGGTGGTGGTGTCTCTGTGGTCCTGTAGCAGCACAGATGCAGTAGTTAA